GTTTGACTCAGCTGCTGTTGATATTCAGTTACTGACCTTACTCGTCTAGTGTACACTTTCTTGAGAACTTTCAGATCAGCTATCCCTTGCTGTACCAGCAAGCGTTTTCATTATTGTCATTCTTTGCATTGCCCTTGTTCGATTTAACTCTACTTTGTCTTCCATGTCAGGCGGCAATTTAACACCCAAGTATTTTGGATTGTTCTCTTGACGCAGTGTTTTTATATTTAGCACTAGCCTAGCTGGCTGTTTTTTATTTTTATTTTTGAGAGAGACAACTCTGCGCATGTTATTTTATCTTCCCTGATATTCTCTAGTCATGTTTTTGACAATTTCTCTAATACTGATAAAGTTTGCTGCATTTTATTGTTGGCTACGCTAAAGTGTTCTTCTCTAGTCCATATAGCTAACTCATCTGCAAAGGACGGGGTGTGTACTCTGGCTGAAAAATTATTTGAAATGTAATTTATGTATGCTAAGAACAAATTTGGTGACAATACTTGCCCTTGGGGCACACCTTGCTCTAAAACAATTTTTTTTTTTTTTTTTTTTTTTTTTTTTTTCCTTGTACTTTTGCCCTTGCAGTTCTGTTCACAAGACATTGACTGATCCATGTGTACATTTTCCCACAATCGTGTATTTTTTGTAGTTTTTCTTTCAGTCCCTCTGTCCATACTTTATCAAATGCTTTTTCTTAGTGTATCCAGACTGCCAGTGTATATTTCTTCACTTGGAAGGCATCCTCTACTTCCTGGGCTATAATATGTTATTTGATCTTCAGTGGGTCTGAATTTTCTAAATCCTACCTGTTGTGGAGTCAGAAGACGTTTTTCTTCGAGATGCAACATTTATCATCATCATCAGTTGCTAAGCCGACTGGCGTGGGCGATCATGCCTCTCCACAATCTGCGATCTCCTGCAGCATGTATCAGTTCGTGTGCCGACACACCTCCATGCCATACAACAAGACTGTCAAGCATCTTCTCTCGTTGTCTTCCTCTATCTCTCCTTCCACATATCTTTCCAGTTGTCACAACATGTTCTATTTTCCCTCTTCTCATAACATGGCCGAAAAATGATGACTGTCTCCTTCTGATGTCTGTGATAAGTTGTCTTCGGGCTCCCGCCTCTTTCAAAACCTCTTGATTGCTCTTTTGGCTGTCCAAGGTATTCTAAGTATTCTTCTGTAAAACCACATCTCCGAGGCCTCCAGAAATTGTTTGGCCTGCCTACCAATTGTCCAGGATTCACAGCCATATGTTAAAACTGGATGTATGTAGCAAGCAAGAATTCTTTTTCTAACTCTCAATGACAAGGATATATTGCACAAGATGTTTTTCATTTTATAAAATGCAGTTTTTGCCTGTCCTATTCTATTTCTTTTCTCAGTTATGCATCTTCCATCTGATGTTATCCATGTGCCCAGATACATAAATTTCTGTACTTGTCCTAAAATAACACCATCAACTTTTATTACACACTTAGGAATAATTCGTTTCTTTGATACCACCATTACTTCTGTCTTCCCATTATTCAAACTGAGGCCCATTCTTCCACTTTCTAACACCACAATGTCTATCATTTCCTGCAGTTCTTTCTGACTTGTTGCTATCAAGACTGTGTCATCAGCATAACGTAAATTGTTTATATTGTGCCCACCAACCACAATTCCGGGAATACCAATTAAAGCTATCATTATATATTCACTGTATATTGAAAACAAATCAGGTGACAGTACACATCCTTGTCGTACGCCCCTCTTTATGCTTTGAAATGTACCTAAACAGTTATTTCTTATAGCTGCTTTTTGCTGCCAATTGATGCAACATTAACCAGTTAATTACAGCGCGTTCCTTCAATGTCCACACACAGCTAAGTAAGCCGATTAATCTATCAGCATTTAGTTCAACACGGTCTTTTCCTTTCTTCTGCACTGGTATTAGCATAACTTCCATACCGGGATATTATTCTCTTTTCCATCTGCAATTTAAGACTTCTAGTAATTGCTTTAGTGTTTAGTCCTATTAACATTTCATGAGTGGTCCCATCCTTAACTGTCTATTCACTCTTTTTCAGGCAACTCACTGCCCGTTCCAGCTCTTCCATATTTAGAATTTCCATCATAAGTTCCGATTTCTCTGTGTTACTTTGATATGTCTGTTTCTTTTTCATTGTGTGTGTGTGTGTGTGTGTGTGTGTGTGTGTGTTCCGATGTGACATTAGTGTGGTTTTCACTAGAACAGTATTCTACCAGTGCATTGGTAGAACATTTGTTTTTTGTATAACGAGATGTTGTTACTTTGTTTAAAAGTTATTTGTTTGTTACTGGGCCCTTCACTGTTCATGGCTTTTACTAGCTCTACAATTTGTTTCCATCTTCGTCCAAGTTAAGGTTTTCTTTCTTTCTTTTTTCCCCCCGCCAGGAATTTCTAGCTGTTCCATATTATGTTCTCCTGTACTGTGCTGAGATGTCTTTCAGTGAGAAGTTTGCTTCAGTCATTTGTACTTTTTACGTTGTCTTCAACTTTTCTCTCAAGAATTTGTAGTTCTTTGATCCAGTACAGTTTGTAATGTTTCCTCACAACTCAACTCAACTCATATTCTGCTTGCAGTATTGATTTGTTTAGACTTTCCACTATTGACTTTATGTTGCCACATTGTGTATTTATATTTTTACAGTACTTGTCTGGAGCAAAGCAAATGTATCCCAATTAGCTCATTTGTAATTCTAGCCAGGCATTGGGTTTTTCCCCCTAGCGTAGAAGCTGAGTTTGTCTTTTGGTTTGTTAATTAAATGAAGATTATAGTCTATTTCCCAGTCCTTAACTCTGTCTCCTCTGAGTCAGTATTTGGGTATCTCCATCTTTCTGAGCGGTTATTAAAGACTCCAACTATTATGCAGTTTGTGTAATTTATTTCCATTTTAGAAAGTGCACGATCTTTGTTTGCTGGGCTTAATAATTTTTATATTATGATTATCTCCTCCTTTATCACGATATAAAGACTTAATTTCTTAATCGTTATTTGACTTCACAGGTACTTCACTGCTCGATATTCTGTATGTTGACAACAAAGACACAATCTGGTCTGTTCCAATCACAATGAAGACAAAGCTGTATGGTACACGAGAAGAAATAAACTGCGCGATCATCATCATCCAGCAAGTTCTTTACAGAACGTCGCTCTTCCCACGGCACTCCTGATAAACATCCGATGACACAAAGTGCCACCATGCGGATGAGGATCACCGTGGAGAGGTCCCAGAAACCGCGTTCAGACAATTGGCCATACTGATGGCCTTACTATATTGCAGGCCCTGGCAAAAGCCAGAGCGGGGCTTCAAATAACACAAAATTACGTCCTAAGTTGTACGTAGGGGTTATATATCAGACGGCCTTCTCTATTGATGCCATTTATATACAGAAGGACCTGGACAGACAATCTGGTAAATCTTCGTTCTCGGTTCCAGGGTGACGCTTCCTGGCCAACAACAACAACAATGGCGGGCTCGATAGCTTCCTCTGTGTTTGCTCAATTTCTAGAAACACATTTGCCCAAGCCTACCACGCTTCCACCCTTTATCGTACGTGAAACTGCTCAAACGGAATTAACAACATCTCTGCACGATCTCCTTTACTCCTTATATTTCACTTGTTTCAGAGTATCCCGCGATTGTAATTGTTAACTTTCCAGGCCCGTGCATTTTGACAGATGCTCGCATTATTTTCTTTACATAAATATTAAATGGCAGAGGGGGTGGTGTAGAAACATTTTATATATATATATATATATATATATATATATATATATATATATATATATATATATATATATATATATAGCAACCAAGAGGTTTTGAAAAAGACGGGAGCCCGAAGACAACTTATCACAGACATCAGAAGGAGACAGTCATCATTTTACGGCCATGTTATGAGAAGAGGGAAAATAGAACATGTTGTGACCACTGGAAAGATCTGTGGAAGGAAAGATAGAGGAAGACAACGAGAGAAGATGCTTGACAGTCTTGTTGCATGGCATGGAGGTGTGTCGGCACACGAACTAATACATGCTGCAGAAGATCGCAGATTATGGAGAGGCATGATCACCCACGCCAGTCAGCATGGCAACTGATGATGATATATATATATTTATATATGTGCATTTTGAATCTATAGTTGGATGTGCGAGAGATTCAGCTTGCAGGACGATGCGCTCATCATGATGTAGCAGGTCCTTTGCAGAACATCGCTCTCATCACAGTCTGCCTGAAAGAAACTCGGTCTCTCGCCAGTTCTCCCGCCTCATGTACTTTCATAATTAAGAAGTCACTTATATCCTGTGCCCCTCCTTCCTGGTACCATACCTTCTGCTGTAATTGTTTCCAATCTGTCGTGGCGCTTGAAATGACTTGATATTCCAGCTTTCGAGACAGGGCAATGCGCTAGCTTCTCGATTTTCCAAATATGGAGGACAGAATTAAAATTTGCCGAACACAGACACCCAGTGTATAGTGACATTAGAAAGAAAAGGGGCAGCAGGTTGAAAAGAGCAAAATCATCATGTATGGGCCAGGCCGAGGACATTAGCAGGTGTGTTATAGAACCTGGTGAGGAATGGGTACAAGTACTAACATTGTGGTACAATCTTTTCTCACTGTCTCACTGTGAGTATGCTCAGGAAGATAGAGAAGGGCTGCATCCGAAGACAGTGGCTGAAGTCTCCAAAGTTATGAAAATTTTTATTGTTATGATTATTCAGCTCTTATACAGAACTTAAGCCCCTTGGGATACCCCCATCCTAAAAAATGTTATGGAAGCTGAGCCTCCCACCCCCCCCCCCCCCCCCCCCCCCCTCCCCCCAACCCACCCTAATCGATTCAGGGATTTCTTTGTGATGGTGCCCCTGTCAGAGAGCAATGATTTCAGTTTTTGAATCATTTGTTTATTCGTTGTTAATTTGGTCATGATAATTCTAATAATATACACTTTTGATACTTTAAGGTGCTTCAGCTGAATCGTTATTACCCAGAGCCAAGCGTTCGGAAACGATATGGCATTGATAACTGCCATTTCTGGGATGTTTTTGATTTGACACTGTGTGACAAGGTTTACAAAGTGAAGTTTGTCCTGACAGCTGATGCACGACTGAAACAGAAGGTGAGGACTTCATTTAAGTGAATGTGGTTTACAGTTTGATTATCCTTGAGTACTGGGGTTTGTTCCCCGCGGTGAACAGTAAAAAAAACCCTGTTGTCATGATTTTTGGACAGTGTTGTGGGACCGGCGCTGTGAAAGAGATTGGGCCTTCCCCATCTAATATTACCAAATACAGTAAAGGTATACTTTAGCCAACCTTTATTGTATAGTTGGCACATAATTTACAAAAATCTGGCTTAATACAAAAAGTTGATGTTACATAACACTAGCATGTTGTCTATGAGTATGTTCATTTTTGAATACTAATAATAATTAGACAACGTACCAGTGGCTTTATATATGTGTGTGTGTACCTGAACTCTCAAATTAACTGTTATTTTCTTGTTGCTATCTGATATCCTTGTCTTGCCACGTGGTTATTATTTAAATTTCTCTGCTTGATAAAGTATTTCTTTGTTCTAATTATTTAGTTAAATTGTTTTCCCACAACTATTGCCATACTGTTATGATCATAACGTTTACCTTCGGCACAAAAGATCTGTTACATCATTCCTTAATGACAAGAGGGTACATAAAGGAAATACTTTGTGTAGCTGTGAGACAGTTACAACCATTGTATAAGTTTGAACAAAGAACACTCTTCCTCCTCCTCTTTTATCTCCTCCTTCTGCTTCTGCGTTTTATTTTTCTTCTCCTCCTCCTCCTCCAAATTTTTCTGCTTCTTCTGCTTCTGTTCCTTCTCCTCCTCCTCTTCTTCCTCCTCCTTTTTTTTCTTTTTCTTCTTCTTCTTCAGCATTCCAAGCCCATGAGATTTGTTGCTGCAGACATCGATAGCCTCTGTTTATCTCTGTGATTGGCCTTTTCTTTCCAGCTGGGGACTTCAAGTGTCAGTAAGTCAGTCTGGATTCTATCTCTGCCTTTTGGGTCTGTATAGCATATTTACATGTGTCTCAAATTCGTACCTGTTGTGTATTGCAGATCAGTGCAGGGTGCTACGTCCAACTGAAGAAGTTCTCTCGATACTGGGATGAAGAAAGCATTCAGAGAAATGTTATTGTTGTTGTTCAAGAACTTGAAGTAGTCAGTGGGAAGCAACCTGTGGTAAATACTTCAGGTAGGACTGCTTCGACTCAGAGTGTTTTATAGTCCTCATTTTCCTCAGAACTTATTTGTCAAGTGGGTGTCCAGTATAACTAATGTTAAATGTGAACAGAGTAAAGAGGTGTTTTCAATCTTGAGGATTTATTTAATTAAGTTGGGTTTTTCTCGCATATGGCTCCTAGGCCCGGTTTCTCTCCACATAGGGGCTGATCATCCACCCAGGACATTTTCACAAGCACTTTGTAACCATCTTCTGCAGCCAGCACAGACATATATCTTGGAATGGTTCATCTTCTTAGCGTTCAGCGACTGTAAACTCTTGCAGAAAGTTCTGGTTGTTCGTCACTCTTGGACAGTTGTTGGTGTGGGTTTCAGGGCCCTATTTGGGGGTAGAGGGGGGAGAGAACAGAGTTGACCCACTGCCTTGTAACGACCTTGACATTCAAGGTAACTAATTACAGCTGTTTTCTTTGAAGTCAGAGTGCATCTGTCTGAGAAGCAAGAAACCAACATCATGCACACATGTAAGCCAGATCTGTCAGATCTGTAAAATGGATGTGCAGGCAAAACTCAAGTTCTGGAACAAGAGTAAAATCCAAACACAGCCAGAACTTTCTGTCAGAGTTTACACCGGTGAGGGCAAATAATAATAATAAGAAGAAGAGAAGATATCAAATCTAAAACAAATTCAATATTAATCGGAGAATGTTTACGCATGAAGTGAGTTCAGTTTTTTATATTTAACATTTATTATAATGCTGTGCTTTTCAATGTCTGTTATTCTCAGGTTATGAAAGTCTTCCATGGTGTAATATTTGTTCATCAAAACAGACAGAAAATGTTCCACTGATATCTGCCAGGTGTTATTATGTGGATAACTGGACCATTCATGTGGCAACAACAAGTACAGATGATGAAGGTAAATTTGTTGTATTTAGTAAGACATAAAAAAATGTTATTCTTAAAATACATACATGGAATAGAATGTGGAAACATCTGCTTCTGCTAATGTAGCTAGTTAGTTTGTGAATCCTTTACAGGATGTTGCTGAACAAGCCCCAGCAAATTTTGGCTGTTGTGTTTTTTCTAGGGTTTTTATTTTTCTAGGCAAGTTTACTTTCTGTAGTTTGCCATTGGTTTCTGAACAGTCAACTCTCAATACCACTGTCAAAAGCAACACAAGATGGTCCGCTGCCAAATTACCTGCAGCTGGGATTGAACCCGACACCCTGTCATTATAAATCATGTTGACAACACCTAAGCCACAGAAGCCGCTAACATAGAATTAAATAATCAGGATACAACCATAAAATTGCACAGTTTATAGACTGGCATATTTTGCTGCTTCTTCTCTGTCTGTGCATTACTGCAGATTTCACATCAGCAGATAATGAAGCATACAAATCTTTTTAATTAAAATACAAATTCACATAGTCTCTTATTACATTGTACATCTCATCATGTAAATCTGAGATTAATAATGTGATCCTTTTGTTTACATAAAGTGGTTGTGCTCATTTTAACCCCCACTGCTTCTGCAGATTTCATTAGGTGTCTTTTCAGTATATGATGAATAACCCAGAAGACCCAGTCTCTGTCAGTCATTTGCCCAGTCTAACAGATGACATTCGGTGGAAAAATTAGGCTTTTGAGTGGATTTTCTTGACTCACTGCAAAATCTCCACTCACTTATATGTGTTGTTGAACATTGTTTTTAACGTGGAATTAACCTCTAACTGAGAATAATACAGCGATGATATCTGTGAATGTTGGCAGAAGTTACTATGTATTCTGTGATCCCCTATGTTGTACACTTCTAAATACCAGCTTCATTTTATTTAAATAAGAACGGACAATTTTTCCAACCACATTTTCTTCTCACCAGAAGTAACAGGAATAGAAACAAAAATAACATCCTGAAATTTCTCAAATTTGACTACAACAATGTTGTGGTGCACCAAATACAAAATAAAATCTGACTAGCAAGCTCAGCTGAGGGAATAGAAAAGATGTACACAAGTACACCCAAATGTATCAACCAGTCTTTATCAGTAGAGAACTAAATATAACACAGATTGTGACTGGAAAACTCAGCGGACAAGACAGAAAAGCTTGTAGACAACCAAAGTAATCATTAAATTAAGAAATAACGTAATGTGAAGAAAATGTTGTGAAGCATAAGAACTGCCAGAACTAATTTTCTACAGCCCCCATGGTAGACTCCAGAAGTAGAACAGGCATGGAAAGCAAAGAGAGCCGTAGTGAAGCAGCTAAAGAAAGTACGACAGACACCCTCAAGCTCACGAGAGGAAATGGAGATGGCGGAGAAAGTGAAAAGAGATAAGGTGGAGGTTTTCAAGCGCTGTGCTGCAGAGGCCAAAAGAGCAAAGTGGGAAACTTTTGTGAATAATATGGGAGGCGATAAAACACTGGGGAAATTCTGGAAACTGCAAAGGCAGATGCAAAGAAAAGATCGGCCGATGACAGTCGAAACAATTTGTAGAGACGCTGGTGTGCGTGTAACAACAGACAAGGAGAAAGGGGAGGCTTTTCTCCATAGGTTTATAGCTCAGACAGATCATAATGATGCAGTTAGAAAGGAGTTAGCTGACATGATACAAGTGGAAGATATCAAACAAATTTTGAAAAAAGCAAAAGACACTGCACCAGGGCCTGATGGTGTCAGGTATGGTCACATGAAGGCTTTGAGCGATGTAGACCTGGCGTAGATGGCCGACTGTTTTAACCAGAGTATTAAGACAGCATCAGTACCGCAAGACTGGGGGCACAGCTATCTAATCCCACTACCAAAACCTTTTAAAGATCATTCTAAGCTTAGTGGCTTTAGAATCATCACCTTACAAAACACATTTGGGAAGGTCTTAGAGAAGATAGTGGCTGTAAAGTTACAAGCATTTTTGGAAAGGGGGAAGCTTCTCCCAAGAGGTCTGGGAAGTTACAGGCCAGGAAAGGACACTTGGGCAAATGCAGCCACTTTTGCTTTTGACGTCTATGAAGGGTTCCAGAACAGACAGGAAACTATGGCGGTAGGACTGGATCTCGAGGAAGCTTATAACAGAGTGAGATACGACATCTTAATGATTGCACTGAGGGAGAAGGAGGTCAATCCATGGCTGGTGAATTGGGTTGCAGCTGTCCTGTATTCACGTCGGGTTGCTCTCCGACTGGGCTCATGGACCTCGGAACCATGCACTTTGGCCCCAGGACTGCCACAGATATCCGCCATCTCGCCTGTGCTCTTCAACGTGTATATGAGCAAGATTGCAAGCCTAGAAGCACCAGAAGTTGGAAGGATACTGACTTTTGCGGATGATATACTTGCATATAGGCAGGAGGAAGAGAGGGAGCAAATAGCCCGGGAGCTACAAGCAACAGTAGACAAAGTGACTGAGTGGTGTACAGAAATGAAGGCTGTCGTCCACCCGGAAAAGGCGTCTGTTTTGTGGTGTTCTCTGGACAACAGAATCGTTAAAACTAATGTCCCAAGTCTCACGATAGATGGTAGAGACGTCAACAGAGAGAGCAGACTGAAGTATTTGGGAATTACATTTGACAGGAGCCTGTCATTTAAGGACCATGTGGAGAGTGTTGTGACGAGATGCCAAAAAGGACTTAGTGCACTTAAGACTATGGCTGCAATTGACATAGAGCAGAGAATGCTTTTCACACTATATCAGCACCTGATCCTGTCAGTGGTGGATTATGGCCTGGGACTGCTTACCGTCTCAAAGAGTCAGATGGACAAACTAGAGCGCATACAGAACGCGGCTATGCGGGTCATTCTGGGTTGCACCAGAGACACCCCAGTGGTGTGTATGCGATACATCCTTGGTTTGCCGATGGTTGCAGGTAGGCACAAGGTGATGCAGGCGAAGTCATATCTCAGGGTAGCTGCAGACACAGACCACCCTCTGCATGAAGCTCTGGGTGCAGTTAAGGGTCAGCGGCTGATAAGAGGGAGGTCATGGATGGCTCAGGCAGAAGACACAATCAGACAGGTTTGCATCCTTAAGAACATTAGGCGAGGAGAAGAGTGGGTTAAAGTGCCACCTGAACAGTCAGACTTGTGTGGGGTCGAAATCACGCTGAGCCGGGAATGCAGAGACTGGCCAGCAGGTGCCACAGAGGTGGAAATTCAGCAAATAATTCAAGATAATGCTCGCTCAGAGGATTTGATCATTTACACAGACGGTTCAGTGTCAAGAGGCAAAAGAAGTGCTTGGGGCTTTTTAGCAAAAGTTAATGGTCGACGTTTGGTGCAGCAGAGCCTAGCATATGATACCACAACATCCAGCTTAAGAATGGAGGTGGAGGCGGTCACTGCAGCTTTCCGCTGGCTAGAGAACATGACACACACACACATTGAAATTGTAACTGATTCAGAAAGCATGCTGAGGAAGATCAGAACAGGTATGCTTTGTGCAGAGTGGATTGCTTCGCTGCGGAGGACATAAGTGAGGAGTATTGTCTTGATTTTTTCACCGGGTTACGCCGGTGTGTTGGGAAATGAACAGGCGGACAGATTATCTGGCTCTGCACAACTTGGTGGATTACTGCTACATGATAAGGCAGACGTGGTTAGTGCCTTGTGGGAGAGCGTGTACAATGCGGAGGAGCAGATGGATCACCACAGTTTGATGAGATTGATGCAGTTGGGGGTGACGAGAGGTTCTGGCAGAAGCTCAAGGCTCAGAGGAAAGGCAAGACGGACATTTAATCAGAAAGCTACTGGCACCATTAGTATCGGAACTCTTCGCTGGCTGCTGAAGATGAAGACGGAGCGCTTATGGGAATGCCCCGGGTGCTGTGATGTCGGTTCTTGAATCAAATAAAATCAAATCAACCTACACAGGTGAATCTTCAGACAGTGAAACTCTAAATAAACATGGCATATGTATTTACTATCCTGATGGACACAACAACCCCATTGCTTGTCAGCCTCTGTAAAACCAGCTGCTGAGCCAGGCACACTGCTCATCACCACAAGGACCTTTCTCACTCTACTGGCCCATCATGTGCATGGTTCTAGACACATACTTCTATAGACCAATCAGCTTTCACATGATGGTATGGTTGCCTTTACTTCCTAGTAATAAGGTCTTTACAAAGGGAAATGGAAGCTGGTGATATCTGCAGCAATAAACGTCAAGAGCCTGAAGTTTTGAAGTAGAAGTGGAGGTGGAAGAGGAGAAAAAAATGTCACAGTGCTCTAGAATCTATCCAAACTGGGAATTTACACATTTTTCTCATGGTTATGTTTTTCAGTTGAAACCTGTGATTTGAGTTCTGTTAGTGAAAGGGAGATTGTTTCCCTTAAGGATGTTACAAGCAAGAAAGTATCACAGTATGCTAAGCCAGCTGTCTTGGTCAAGGTCATGAGGAAGTGCAGGCTCATCCATTACATCAGTTATTCTAGGGAAGACAAATGGCCATTCCAGGTAACAGTTGCAATTTGTGGTAAATGTTAACATGCCAGTTAGTTATTAGGAAAATGTGACAGTAGGAAAATGTGACAAAAATTAAGGTGGAGTCTCACAGACACATTATTTAAAATTTTTTTTATTGTACCTGTCTTGCTATAACCACTTACCTACAATCCCATCTCTTTGGTCCACTTCCTGTTTAGTATCTTACTGCATGACAACTCTTGTGACATAGAACCAGTCTCAAATATTTTGTGATATGCCTCACTATAAAGCTTAAGTGATTTTTATGTAGTCTGGTTTGTAATTAAATCATCCATTTTGTGTGTTTCATTTTATGTTATCTGCTTATATAGACTTTCTAGTCAGTTATGATTGTGGGAGTATGGAACTGACTTATTCCACTTCTCATTCGGATTGACAATTTTCCTAAGTTATCAAATACAATTCACTGAATTTTTCTAGCTGCCTTTACTGGTTGGAGACAAGTCTGGCTGGTGCACTGTTGTTCTGTGGAACAAACTGGCACTAAAGATGTTACATAAGTATGTAATTTTAGTTTTCCATTATCTGTTGTCAAAACGTTGTGAAAAATTTCCTCTCACTTATGTTATAATTGTTGTTTCACTACATTACTAAAGAGCAAAAACTTCAGTTTTATTTTATATATGGGATAAGTTTATACTCCCTCCCTCAAATCATCAATTTTTTTGGTGAATTTAGAATGTTCATTGAGTCAAAAAAGTCAATATTAATTTTTGACAGTATTTACAGAAGTTAAACTTCACATCAAAATTTCTATATGTTCATTTTCTATGTGGTGTGGTTCATTTGTTTGTCTGTTTAGATTCTATGTGAAATAATTCCTGCATGTTGCATCCACTTATTTTAAGATGGTCTCCTGGGGAAGTAGTTGAGTTATTTGTCTCCTCATCTGAAGGCCTTAGGTTTGGTTTAGGAATCTGTTATTCAGTTTGTGATTGCAAGTATTTTATAGAATTTTGGGGATGTTGCTGGAGCTACAGAGTCAGTGTATTGTGCAACATTCTCACAGGTGACCATTCACTTTCTGGAGATGGATAGCCATATGGTATCAAACCTGGTGCTATAAAGGTGATCACATCGTTTTTAAATACACTTTAAATGTAAAAACATTTGTTCTGAATTTAGGTTGTTATTGGTGGGAAAATTCCTTGACTATACTTTTGCTACCAGCAAATAATTTCTTTAACCCTTTCTATAATTTACCAAAAAATGTTAAAACAGCTAGTTTTTGGATTTTCATAAATTAGAATAGCATTGAAAATCAAAAGGAAGTAAGCTTACATACAGGATAGAATGGGTTGATGTAATAACTGTGTAATTTAATAGATTTAATATAATAACTGTATATTATAAGAAAGTTAATATAATCATTGTTTATAATTTAGGAAATAAATATGACTGTTTATAATTTAAGATAGATTTAATATAATAACTGTATAATTTAAAAGAGTTTATATAATAACTGATTGTAAGATTGTCTTGTGTTGATTTTGACAGTGGCATCAAGAGCTGACCGTTCAGAGGCATTGGCAAACTATGTGAGCTACACTGCCAGTTAAAATGCTGGGGTTGGTTCTGCGAAGACCTGAACAGGATTTGCAACTGATTTACTGTAATGAAATAGACAACAAAATTAGTAACTTTTACCTGGACTAACCAGTGAATGTTTAGTGCGCTACTTGGTATCAAAAGAGTTAAAGCCACAAACATTTAGTTTTACTGAAGAATGATGTAAATACCTTGCAAGGCCTAAATGAATAACAGAGTGTTTCAAAAAAGGCTAACATGCAAAAACAGCTAATCACAAACATCAGAATTAAGAAGCTGGCAATAAGACAATTTGAGGCAGAAAAAAATTATACTGTTTATTGTTTAATTTCTGTGTTCTGATGTGTTATAGGGTTTTATACTGAACACTGCTGATTGACAGAATACTGTCAGATTGTCTCTACACTTTGCGGTTGCAATGAAAACCAAAATAAACAGGCCATACTGGCTTTTTTATGTATTATTAAAATGTTGTTGTATGTACAGGCTCAGTTTTTATGTGTATGTATATATGTGAATATATGAGGGGAATCAGTAAGTGAGTCACAAATGATTTTAAAAAAAAAAGGCTTATAGCGACTTGAAAACTGTTTGTTTTTACACATACACTGTTTCTTTAGTTTTCAGCACAATTTCCACTAACATTGATGCACTTGTCTTGTCGTCCTCCCAAAACCTGCTGCATAGAACTGTGTGCTCTAAACCACATTTTCACTTCACATTTTGCATCATTCACAAAATGTCTCCCGCCAAGATGGGTTTCCAGTGCACCGCTTTATGGGATAAACATTTGTCAGCATAAACAGGAAGTATTTCCTTATGAATGTCCTTTGCAGGCAACCTCTTTGACCCCCCAAAAAATGCACATGGTTGTTCTTTAAGGGTACACTCTGTAAGTACAGTCACCATTTTGTTTCTGTGTTGCCAGTTTGCATGCAACACCTAGTGCCACCTAATGAATGGAGATATAAAGTTCGATGTTGCTGCCACCTAATGAATATTGCATTAAAAATACATATAAGAAAGCGAATCTGACAGCAGACGAATTAAGGTGTCTAAAAATAAATATTTTCAAAAACTGTCGACCCAACTCAATTCACTATTTTTGTGGCCTGTACATTGTGTTAATGGCTAAATTGAAAACAGAGATAAACTGGGACATATGGTAATAACTAGAATATTTACAGAAAGCAAGAAAGAGGAAGATGAAGAGAAGATATGTTTAGTCTTCTAATCCTGACATGGAAAAAATACCAATAATAAATAGATGCATTCTGTTGAAAATGTTGATGTCCCATGGTAATTAACTGAAGGTGCTGATTATAGATTTTGTTTCAGTTACCAAAGGCAACAGTGCAATATTTTAATTTATTCTGTGCAGTGTTCATGAGGGCAGCTTGCTTCTGTTGAAGAACTTTCGTGTGAAGACAAGCATCCAACAGAAGACCAAATCTTTCTTTAGTCCTCCCCAAGGCACTGCGCTGTTTCCATGTGAGCTGGGTGTGGATTCCCAGAATCCAGCAACTGTGGTCAAACTTGTCACATATCAGCCAGACAGTGCTAGGAATGGACTTAACTTTCCGCGTCTAGAGTTCTGCTTTCTGACCAAGCGAGATCTCGTGTAAGTTATTGGTTTTAAAATTTTTGTTTCAGTGAGTGGGTTCCGTGGTCTCATTTCAGGGGAATAAAAGATTTGATCCACTGCTCCCAAACAGTTATGTCAGAAAAGGCAACTAATTTTGTGAAACTGGATGTTTTGAGCCAATAGCACATATTGCAGCCTAGCAGTCAACCACTGTGCAATGTGCCAACTATCCCTTTAGGGACAGACATAGAAGAAGAAACAAGTTATTTTGGGGTTATGTTTGGTATTGTATTATTGGTGTGGCATGTACTTTTATGGATGTGGATCCGTTATGGTGTGCGGATAGATGCTCACCTGCCAATCTGAAGGTTGTTGGTTCAAATCTTGACTCCCAGGTCAACCCAGCCTTAATTGGATGTCAGATATAGTCCTGGGAAGTAAAGGTGGCTAGTGTGATGTTTATTACATCACCCACAGAGTGGCGATCTGTAAATCTAGATATAGCACTATATACCCAGTATACCCCTAGGTGTGGAAAAGGGTTCTTTACTTTACTCATTTGAATGGGAGCTATGGTGGTATAGTGCCTAGATGCTTGCCTTTCAGCCCAAAGATTTCAGATTTGAATCTGCATCAGGACAGATTTTGATAACTGACCAGGTCAGTCTAGTTTAAAAAAGGTACTATGATACGTCCTGGGAAGTAATGAAAAGAGGCATGATGTTGACCACATTACCTGTATTGACAAGGCAAGCCGACACAAAGAAAAAAAGGGGGAGGGGGTTGTTCAGCACCCAATCACCCCACCTTAAAGATTTTCTAGGCAAAAATTTGTCTTTTTTCATTCCCTCTGAGGTACTCCCCCCCCCCCCCATTTCCACACCAAAAATTGAAACAAACGGGGGTAAGAGGGTGGTTGGGGGGAATTAGCTCCCACCTCAAATAATTTTTGTAAGGGCAAATTAATGAGTCTAAGAGCCAGTTGTAAATATATTTAGAGACATCTTTTAAAGTATTTGTTTATACTATTTGTTTTTACATTCAGCTGGCATTTGTGGCTTAGGCATTGGAAACATGCTTCATAATGCTGGGATCTCAGTTTGATCCCAACTGCAGGTGATTTGGCATCAGACCGCCTTGCTTTAGTTTTGACATTGTATCGAGAGCTGAATGTTCAGAAAGTAATGCAAACTACTGAACTCAAATTTGCCTAGAAAATCCACAACAGCCAAAAAATACTAGGGTTTATTTTTGCAACGTCCTTTAAAGGATTCTCAGCTTACTTATACATTTCATTTTATCAGTATGTATACAATTATATTATTATATTAAGTCGCCATTGAACACATTTTTTATTTCTTAATGTTGTTTATTTTTTTTTATTAATGAAGTAGAACTTATAAAGGTAGTCCTAAGAAAATTTTCTATAATTGATTAATCTTCTTTGCCTTACACATGTTTGTTAGAAGTGCAGTCAGTCTGTCACCCCTTCCCACCTCACCCCCTCAAATGGGCCCCAGAACTAACATGCAGAATGAGTCATCTAAATGTTCTGAAAGAGGCTGAGCCTTAACAACTTATCTCCAACATCAGAATGCAGCCGTCATTATTATTTTACCACATTAGGAAAGGATAAACACTGGAATATATCTTGACGAATGAAACAATTTGTGCAAAGAGAGTACAGGAAGACAACAAGAGACAGTTCTAGACAAATTTTGGATACATGATGTTAGGGTTAGTGTACTTTCTGCATTATATTAGTTTTAACATATCTATGCTGTTTTTTTTTTTTTTTCAAAGCTCGGTTCCAGATTTTTCTACAGTAGATGTAGCTGGCCTAATAACTTTTGTTGGACGGGTGGAAAGAGAAGCCAGAAAAGGTGAATATTAATTTGTATTTTATAATATTATTTCATGTACTGTTAAAATAATTTGTGTCCTATAACAATAATTTCTATTGTGTGACAATAACTTGTGTTCTATAACATTAATTTCTATTGTGTGACAATAACTTGTGTTCTATAACATTAATTTCTATTGTGTGACAATAATTTGTGTTCTATAACATTAATTTCTATTGTGTGACAATAATTTGTGTTCTTTAACACTTCTCCGTGTTCTATCAGAAAGATATAAAATGAACTGAAATGTAGAATGAATTAGTTTCACATTGTCACAAACACAAATGACAATTGAATGTTACTGCTAAATAGCTTTCATCAGCACATTAAAGGAATATACAATGCTACAAATACGAACAACAGTACACAGCCTCACTTAACTGAAGTGTCTCCGAGAAAAATCACATATCTGTTTGGCCAGTTGAATCTCTGGCACATGTGTGACCACCAGAAATAAAAACAAACCAGAAAAAGTTTTTATTGTATTTATAGTAAGGTGACTGGTGCACTTGGCTGTTATTTAATATATTAAGTAGAGAGTTCTTCAAGTATAATGAATTTACATGAAGTCATGTTTTAACAAATGAAAAAACCTCCATTGAAACTTTTCAAAAAAATGAATGAATTACAAAGTAACAACACTACACTCATAACACTCCCTCACATGCATGGTCCCTTTCCTCAGCCACTACATTCATAACATTCCCACATGTGCACTATTCCCTTCTCCAGGACATTCCTACACATGTGCTGTCCCCTTCCACAGTCACTACAGTCAGGACATTCCCACACATGCATTGTCCCCTTCCTCAGTCACTACACTCAGTACATTGCCATTCATGCACTGTTATCTTCTTCAGTCACTCCGCTGAGTACATTCCCACTACCACACCGTTTCCCTTCCACAGTTACTACACTGAGTACATTCCCACACATGCACTGTCCCTGTCCTCAGTCACTACATACCATACTTTGTGGATATGGGCCATGCAGATTTTTTCACTATAAATGAGAACGTAGAAAATTCACCACAAGACCTGCATGCTGCTCTAGAAAATGATTTTCTGGCTGCATTAAAAAACTGGAAAACATGTTAGAAGGGATGTATCAGATGTGGTGGGAACTGTTTCATCGGAGTCAAATCTAGTTAAATTATTCTGAAACAAAAAATAATCTGTTCATTAAATGTCTCATTCTGGACTCCCTTGTACATTGAATGGTACTTGAGATAGTAATGAATCTTGAGGCAACAATAAATAAAAGACTTTATTCGTGTCACAGGGGTATAGTTAGGGTTCACAGACAAATTAGCTAATTTTTCCAAGGTTTTTCAAAGTATGTTCCATTTTTCAAAGCTGTGCCGAGCATATGTATTACTTAATTCATGCAAATGTACATGGATAAACATACATATATAGTATGTTTACATCTATGTATATTCTAGACCAGGTGGCAAAGAGAAACAAGTAGGTGGTATGATCATCCAGTTTAACCTCTGTGATAGTCAGTTGTTATCTCATTTGTGTGTATATCTTGCAGCTTATTATGTTCTGATCCATTTGGGAGGTTTATGGTGTGTCTAGACTTTGATTGGTGATCTTTGAAATGGGATACCACTTAATAGTCTATGAACAACTTAGGCAGTACTCTCCAAAACTAACTGCAACCTTTTAAAAGATTTGGAGCCAGTTTCTTTAAGATGAATACAGAAATCAGTGCACACATTTATGAAGATTTGCCTTACACTGCAGGGTAAGGACCAGAAAAAGGCTTTCACTCTGCCCGTGCACAGAAATAAAGTATTCTGATTTGGTATGTACATCATTAAATGATTGCTGCATGCACTGTATTATTGTTTCCATGTTACTGACTGAAAACAATTCAGTATGTGAACTTGATGACCAGCCTTCATTTTAATTTCCCCCCCCCCCCTTCTCCCCTCAACCTAGTTCCTTTTCCTTTTTTTTTGGTTGCAGGTTTTGTATTTACAACATCAGTTATTTACTGTTTTTCTTTTTCTTAGTGTTCACCAGCTGTAAACTCCAGCAGAAAGTTCTGGTTGTTCATCCACTTCTGGACTTTAGTCTTGTTTTATAACTTGTTTTCTGTGCACATCTGTTTTACAGATCTGAATAATTTGTATATAGACTGTTTGTTCCTCACTTATGCAGATATGCTCCAACTTCAAAGGAAACACTCCTAATTAGTCACCTTCTGTGACATGATTGTTGGGGGGGGGGGGGGGGGGGGTGTTCTTCTCTCTCTCCCCCCCCCCCCCCCCCCACCCCCCAGAATGATGACCCTAAAACTCACACAGGGAATCCATTATATAATTTACACATTCACTTTCTGTTTCCAGTAGTTTGACAGCTCTGCTGCAGTTAACCTAATTACATTTGTTATATTCACAATTTGTATATGTATCACCGTAGGTTCTGCTAGTCAACGTGAAGACAGTGGAGCCTTTTTTTACCGCCGCTGGGTGCATTTAAGAGATTCATCACTTTCTGAACCCATTATAGCACTGGTTTATAGCGGTGAGCAGGTAACTTTCATTTGATTGTTTTAGTGATTTGTGGTTTGAACAACGGATCAACATCATGGCACACGGGTAGTAACCCATAAGTGCTTTGTTCTTCTTCTAACTCAAGTCTGAGTCTGAAGAAGCTACGAGAAATAGCCATGACAGAAACAAAATGCTAACATGTTATGCTAGTTGTAACAAGGAAAGATCTACTTAGGAATGATATCAGGAGGAGAGTCAGCACAGAACCAATACTGAACTTTATCAATAGACAACAGATCAAATGGTTTGACCATGTAACAAAATTGACAACAGCAGGGCACTGCAGAGAGCAGCATTGTACTGATACAGTACTTAGAAGATGCGTACAACAGCGTCCCATACAACATGCTCATCAGACTGCTGTTGGATATGCAGATAGAAACAAAGTTGGTCAACTGGATCGCAGCAGCGTTTTTTGAAAGAACAGTGTCGCTTCGATGTGGTAAATGGGCATCCGAACCTCAACGAGTCCTAATGGGTCTGCCACAGGGATCACCACTGTCGCCTGTGCTCTTCAATGTGTACACAGCAGGAGTCACTAGTGCACAACGCGTAGGTCTAGGTAGAACAATGTCGTATGCAGATGATATTCTTGTTTACCGTCGAGGTAAAAACAGGCAGGAAATTACAACCACACTACAACACGAACTGGACAGACTTAGTGAGTGGTGCCAGGAATCAAGAGCTCATGTGAACCCGTCCAAAGCCTCCTTAACATGGTTCTCTCTAAATACTCACATCGTCAATACACCAACGCCAGTCGTAAGCATATGTGGTGTGGACATCGAGAGAACGGACACCATGAAATACCTGGGTATGACATTTGACAGATGCTTGTCATACAAATGCCACGTAGACAACGTCATACTTAGAGCCAGAAAAGGTCTGACAGCACTCAAGGTGCTAGCAGCAGCTGATATTGAACAACGCCTACTTTTCCTTCTCTATCAAGGGCTTGTGCTTAGCGTCATTGACTATGGTCTTGGCCTCCTCACTGTCAGCAAAACCCAGCTAGAAAGACTGGACCGAGTACAAAATGAGGCCATGAGACTCATACTCGGCTGCACAAAAGACACTTCCTGCAACGCCATGCGTTATGTCCTGGGTTTGCCGACGATGACTAGTAGATACAAAGTGGCACAAGTCAAGGCTTACATGAGGTTATCGGCAGACGCTAACCACCCATTGCACAAAGCTATATACGATACAAAAGGAACGCGTCTCAAAAGAGGCCGCTCTTGGATGGCAAAGGCTGAGAATTTGATCCAGCAGGTATGTGACCTACGCGTTTATCAGGCACGGAAAAAGAATGGATGAATACACCAGTAGACATGCATGGCATCTCTAAGGTTGTCATCACACTAGGAAGGTACTGTCGGGATCAGATTCCTGCGGCCATAGACACAAAAGTAAGGGAACTGATAGATCAGCATTCAGACCCAGAAGATATCATCATCTACACAGATGGATCCGTGAAGCGCGGATCAAGGTCAGCATGGGCATACACAGCGCAAAGAAGGGGGAAAACAATACATGAAGATAGTGGCGCTTACCAGACAACCACGTCAAGCATGACCATGGAAATAGCCGCTGCTTCTAGAGCTTTAGCATGGGTATCCGAGCAAACCGCCACACAAGCAGTAATTGTCTCAGACTCAATGAATATGCTTCAGAAAATAGCAACTGGCAGTATGCGCTCTGAATGGATAGAAAGCATTCGGAAATCGCACTTAACTTCCGTAACCTGGATCTACACACCGGGTCATGCGGGCGTAAAGGGAAATGAGCGAGCGGACCAACTGGCAAGCACAGCACTAATGATTGCGGGAAAAAGCATGGACAGAGCAGATATCGTTAACGCTGTACGTACTGGGCTAGTGGATAATATCGAATCCCTGACACTAACACGATTGCGTGACATGGGAGTTAAGCATGGTGAAGCACGTCTTTGCCGTCTGCGAGGCCGAGAAAGGAGACAATATAACCAGCTTCTCATGGGGACAATTAGTAGAAGTACTTTGGAGTGGCTGCTGCTTCGGAGGACTGCGCACGCATGGGTATGCCCAATGTGCAGTGACGTCGATTGTGATAACAAAACACAAAATAACATTTTGTAGGAAGTCGGCATTCCGAAACCCAAGTTCAAGGTGTCTCCTTCGTGCCAAAGAACTGCATGGCTGTTGGGTGAACAGTCGTTAACGAAGGCAGTCAGGTCGTTGTAGGGGCGACGCCTGCTGGTGGATGTAATGTCCTAAGTCCCTTTCCCAGCTAATAGTGAGGGTACTGCTGGGGTGACCATTTGTTAACCCCTCACATAATGCTTCAAGTCACAGTGGACGCTAGGCACGGCCACTTTTTTTTTTTTTTTTGTTTTTTGTTTTTTTGTTTTAGCCGTGGCAGTTCTGCCAGGCGGTGGCCGTTGCATTTTTGCTCCATTTGTAGACTGGAAGGATATGGTTTCGTCACCCAGCTTCTGAGTTGAGTGCATGGTGTGACACTGTGAGCTACGAGTGTTTTTCGTTGGCACAGGAGCGGAGCAACAATGGGGTGACCCGTTTGCTATGATGCTGAAACTAGGATTACCAGATTACCAGATTACTGATACAGTGGTAACCTCTAGAGGTCAACCACACAGAAGATGGACTGAAGATGTCAGAAACACTGAAAAATACTACATACAATGTGAACAAAAGGACCCATTCCATAATCTCTTCCTGTATTGATGCTGCGAGGTATTCCAGGAGTAGAGAAGAAGTAATGTAGTACAGGGATGTGTAATCTGCTTGTGTCTAGGGGCTGCAGCTGTGGCTATGGTTGTTGTTATATATGTGCACAAATTCTAGCTCAGTCACTTATGTTCTACTAATGCTGCCAGTGGGGAATTTGTTTCCCAAACAAGTTTACTTTGGAGACTGGAATTGGTAATTTTATTTTGACAGACATATACACACATATTTTCTAGGTTTAGAGAATAAAGGTTGGGGGGGGGGGGATGCCTAGGAGCCCAGTCCTAGTTTGAGAGCATAATAATAATACTGTGCTGAATGATGAATTAATATAATATTACACTTGAAATAGTCTGAAATGTCTAAAAAAAATACTTGTAAAGAGAATTTATGTGCAGTGTTAAATGGGACTGCTTAACCACCTTACAGAATTATTGAATTATTGGGAAAGCTCAATGAATTGCCTCTCCTAACAAAAAATATTTGGTTTTTGGGTGGGGGTCAGGTGGCCAATCCCTCGCAGGCTTCACTACCCCTGCATCATTATCCTGATGGTAGAGTATTCTATTTCATAGAGACAGAAACTATCAAATGTAGAGAAAGGATTGTATGAATAGACTAGGAATGATGGGAATGAAAAGAGATGGGAAAAAACAACAAAAGAGACAAGTCAAATATTTCAGCTGCAAAAAAAAAAGACAAAGCACTCTTATAAAAACTGTATTGGAGAGAAAAGTTAAAGGCAGGTTAACATGAGGTAGATGATGAAAGAAGTGGGAGCATACCATTTGTGTGTTGGGGGGACTAATGTGGGTGACTGGAGTTGATAGAATTGAGGAAAAAAAAGGACGAGGGATGACAGAAGCTTCAGTACAGGACTCTCTTGTCCAGATTCCTTAGTCTGATAATGGTTCTGAAGTAAAAGAATTAGTCATCCAGTCACCTGACTCAGACTCATATAGGTGGATGTAGCAGTGGTAGCAAGCTAGACATTCCACAGTTTGACTTAGGCTTTGACTTTGATGATGACGATATTATCCCACCAGCCCCAACCAAATATCTGTTTCAGGATTCTGTGTTTGGCCTCAAAACTGTTACCAGTGATAAGCCTTCATTACAAGAAAGTAAAATGCTTTCATTAAGTGACGCTGATAAAGCAACAGGTTCAGTTAGAAGACTCACTAGGGATCTACCAGTTGTCATTCCACCTGCTTCAGCATTGTCTGATGGCACATGTGATTTTGAGCCTTTTATGAGTACTTTTGACTTACAGCTGTCATCAGAAGAAGGAACTCATGGAACAGGGTAGGATGGATGGTAATTAGGGAACAGAACAGAGGGAAAGGAACTGGTGATGAATAGTGGATTTGAAAGAACCGATTGGATGAAATGGAAAAGGAAGGAGTTATAGCACATAATGGAATGTGCTGGGAGGTAATTCTGGCAAGAACTGGAATGTAAGATAAGAGACAATGTGTGTTGAAAATCTGTTGCTGCAAACCTTCATTGTGGAAATGACATCTGACTGATTGATTGATGAAACATAAAAGAGTTATGGTCCAATTTAGAATGTACAAAAGTTATAGTATAGGATGTATGGCCCTTATGGTACTGTATGGGAGTTATGCTACAGTATGTTGATTAAAGTACAGTATGTGAATTAAAGTACAGTATGAGAGTTATGGTACAGAATGAGAGTTATGTGTAGTATGTGAATTATGGTACAGTAGGATTATTATGGTACAGTATGGTAGTTATGGTACAGTATGAGAGTTATGGTACAGTATGGGAGTTATGGTACAGTATGTGAATTATGGTACAGTGTGAGAGTTATGGTACAGTATGGGAGTTATGGTACAGTATGTGAATTATGGTACAGTATGGGAGTTATGGTACAGTATGGGAGTTATGGTGCAGTATGTGAATTATGGTACAGTATGGGTTGTATTGGAGATGGCTCACTATAATATGAACAGAAGTTATGATACAGTAAAGGGTGAATGGGAGTTATGGTTCAGTATGGGATGAACAGAAGTTATGGTACAGTAAATGGTGTATGGGAGTTATGGTTCAGTATGGGTTGAACAGAAGTTATGGTACAGTAAAGGGTGTATGGGAATATGGGAGTTATGGTTCAGTATGGGATGAACAGAAGTTATGGTACAGTATAGGATGTATGGAAGTACAGAATGGGAGGTATAAGAGTTATGGTACCATGTAGGATGGACAAGAGTTATGGTACAGTATGGGAGGAAGAGGAGTTATGGCACAGTTTAGGATGTATGGGAGTTATAGAACAGTATGGGAGTTATGGGATGTATGGAAGGTATAGTACAATGTAGGATGAACAGTGTGGGATGTATGGGAGTTATGGTAAAATACATAAGGTACAGAGGTACCATCCAGTATTGGGTTAAAGTTATTTATAACACAGTATTGTATAAAAGGATTAGTGGTATAGAGTACAATGAAGTGACTTATGTCACAGAGTGGGATGAAAGGATTGGTGGCAAGTAGTGGAATTAAAGGATTGCTGCACATGATTTAATGAAAGGATTTAAAGCACAGAATGGGATAAAAGAATTTATAGTAAAGAGTTGTATGAAAGAATTTGTGGCACAGAGTGGGAAGAAGGAATAGGGTGGATGTAGTTAATTGATGACAGATAATACATTCGAAGTAAGTAATGGAACAGTATATAATGTAACGGAATGTGGCACACACTGAGATCATTAGAAATAATAGCAACAGATGGGAGACATTAGCGTGAGCAGATTATGAAAGAGATATCCTGTGTGACAGTCTGAAAGGCAGAAGAAGGTAGTGGACTGGTCATTAGTAGTTATTAGGCATTATATCATGAAAAGTGTTAATTTTTGTTTGTAACTTGATTTGATTGGTCTTAATGAACTTGTTGCAGAAGGAGACGTTCTTTAGTCTAAAGCCAGGACAATACCTGCTGTGTAGACACATGCTCACAAACCAGTGCTTGGATGATCTGGTCTCTTCGAGGCAAAAACGACATGGATGGTTAACTACAACAGCATATTCGTGGGTAAGAACGTGTGTATCTTTTTTCTTCCTAACCCTTTCGCTGTGATGACCTAGAAAAAATAAAACCAGGCTACAGTAATTTCAATTTTTAGGATATTCTCTGAAAAAAAAAACACATTAGAAAAGTCAGCCATTTTATGCATTAGAGAATAAAAAAATTATTGCACAAAATCAGTTTATCGTCCAAAACACGAACAAATACCATAAAGTGTAAGGGGAGTATTCAAGTAATAAACACAAATGATTGCAGCATAGAATCAACTGGCTTACATCTCTTGGGGTCTGAATCGAATTGTAGCGTAACACTTACTTAATCCTGTGACTTGGTCACCCTCTAACCGCTGTAGCCAATGGGGGGAAAAAGAAATATAAATTTCTATAAATAAAGTAATTTCTTTGTAAAGGAAATCCCCTTAAATGCTATTTTAAAGTAAATTTAGTCATTCCCCGTCACCTGAATGTTTGCTTTGAAAACTGATCTTGTCACTTGTGGAGATTAAATTTAAACCTAACCTTTGTTTATGTAGGCTAGTACACCATCTATTGTTTCATGGTGGCTTCAGCACTTAAAGCTCACAGAAATACATGCTGAAGAAACACAGTGGCCTCTTGAGTTAAATATATATGTGCAGCTAAGTGTGACGCAATGAAGATGTGTGGAACAAAACCGACTCTGAGATAGAACTGACTGCCGGCATAAGAAGGAGACATCTTCATTCTTTGGCCATGTCATGAGAAGGAGAAAGCTGAAGTACATTGTGATGGTATGAATGTTGGAGAGGAAACAAAGCTGAGCAAGACCAAGAGAGAGAAGAAGCTGGACAGTTTGACACAGCATAGAAGTTTATCTTTGTCAGAACTGATTGAAAGTATGTAAGACAACATGTTGTGGTGAGACATGGCTATCACCAAAACATGGCATGGACTGTAAGAAGAAGAAGTATGACACACTACCCTCAAAAGAAGAGAAAGAATATAAAATTCAGCTCTGAAAGGCAGATTATTTGTTCTAATGAAAGCCATAGATAAACACTGGTGTGTTTTACATCTTGTACATGAGAAAAACAGAATTCAATAGGATTAGTTCAAGCCAACACAAACAAGAAGATACAGTGCAGACTGTTCACGGCCATCTTGGATGTGGTGAAGAACAATTTATTTATCCCTGGCAGTTTTGCTCGCTTGAATATTTTATCTGGGTAAGAGAAATTTCTAAAAGGAAGACCTTTTCTTGGGTCCCCAATGTGTTCTGCTTATCAGGTCTGCACCGCATAAAACTGACTTATTGTGTTTCTGTTCCAGTTGTATGTGTTTACTCCATCAAACGCTAGGAACCTTCCTGAGGATTTCAGGGATGTTGTAAAGACTAGCATGCCTACACACCCATCTGATTATTCTGATCTGTTCCAAGAAGGTGGCGTGTTCAGATACCCCCCGTTTTCCTATTGTATTGAGTCGTTGCAAAGGAGTAGATCTGAAGTGTTACAAGTGGTATGTATCTGTTCATTATTTTATTAAATCGTGAAATTCTGTTGAATTCTGTAAATTTAGCAGAAGTTTCATAAAATAGCAGAATTTTTTCCAGAACGGTTTGAGCCTCATAAAAATGTTCCAGAACTTTCTAGGAATTGTCTTGAAAGCCCCCATGTAAGTTTTGGAGGTTCCATTTTTGGCTGGGAGTGGGGAATAGACCCACTGCCACTCAATAAGTATATCATAAAAGGTGGTTAATTAGAATTCTCCTCTAAAGTGAGAGCACATCAGCCTGAGTGGCGAGGAAATAATTAAGATCTGTAAAATCGATGTGCGTGCAAATCTCAAGTTCTGGAATGAGACCAAAGTCCAGAAGTGGATGAACAACCAGAACTTTTCCTGTGAATTTACAGACAGTGAATGCTTAGACACAGACAAGGAAGACAAGAAATAATGACATCCTAAAAGATCTAAACTTAAAGGAAGATTGACCAGTAAACAGTATCTTGCCTCGAAATTTGCAATATTTTGGCCAAATCAAATGCCACGTTGGATTGGATAAAAATAATAGCAGAAGACGTGGTGCCAAGAAGGAGGGGCAGGGACTGACCGGCACGAAGATAGGCACAGGATATAAGTGACTCCTTGGGTATGAAAGCGCTTGAGGGAGAGCTGGCAAGAGACCAAGTTTTATTCCCAAGCAGACTGTAATGAAACCGATGCTCTACAGAGGACCTGCTGCATTGTGATGATGATGATGAACGCTTAGAAGAAGACGCCTGAGAAGGAAAGATCAAAAGGAAGGGAATAGTACACCCTTCCTCATAAGTCATTATCTTATTACATATGAAGGCCTAACAGTTCACATTCCAAGATCAGTATCTGCCATGAAACTTCCTTATTTAAATGAAGGTGTGTTTGAGTGTGTGTGTATGTTTTATATGTGTGTGTGTGGGTGCGAAAAATAGGAGTGTTTGAGTGTGATAAGCAAGCACATGGGATATGCATGAGCGTGTGTTTATGCATGTATGTATTCATGTATGTATGCATGTATGTATGTATGAGTATCTGTGTGTTTATGTGAGAGAATGTGCAGGAAAAGGTATGGGTGTGTGTATATCTCAGAGCGATATGTATGTGTTTTTGTATTAAGCAGTGTGTATTTAGGTGTGAATGTCAATGCATATGTGTGTGTGTCTGTATGTGTGAGTTTATGTGTGTGCCGATGTGTGTCACTGTAAGCATGTGTATCTGTATCTGCATGTATGCATATTTGAATGTATGTATTTGCCATTCATCCTTTTGTATTTTGTCACCCTACACTGATACTATGTAGTTTGCTATAGAAACATAACATTCTTAGTGCATACACATACAATTGATGTCTGTCTAGAAGGCTGAATGTAAGACAGGCCTGTGGGCTCAGTTCGTAACCATTGAAAAATAGAGTTTTATTTGTTCATTCATTCATATTAATTTATTTGCATGCACACACAAGATTTATTTTTAAGAAGTCAGTTCTCAAAATCTTCCAGTTTGGGACCTTTTTAGCGCCTGTTAAAAAAAGATAAAAAAAATAAAGGACCCATTTCACCTTTTCTTGGGCATATGATGCTAGACTCATATTTCATAGACAAATAAGCTCTCAGTCACGCCAGTCACTTGACTTCCCTGTGTTTATCTGGTACCCATTTCAGGGCGGGTTGACCTGGGAGCTATGGTTATGTGTTTGATTTAATCTGACTCAATGCAGATTTGAACCCACAACCTTTGGTCTGGAGGTGTAGCATCCAGGACCCTGGCTCCCTTTATTTTCATGATAACTAACTTTGCTAAGTCTGACTGAAACTCTTCAGCTGGACAGTCATAATTACTTTAACTCTCAGCACACAGCAGTAATACTTTAACAATCTGTATAGAACAGCAAAAGTTAATTATCACTGCACTTTTTCCTGTCAGAAATTGTTACATCTTTTAAAGAGACTATCTCCTGCAGATTGTGCCAAGCTCTGAATGGAAGAGTATCTGTCACAGAATGACATGGAGAGAATGTCACCAGTTTACAGTTCATGCTGTCTTGACATCGGTGGAGTTTAGCAGAGTCTCCAAGGAGAAGACAACACCTGTAAGGTAGGAGCTTCATGTGTCTAAATATTTGACATTTTTCTTTTCCAGAGCTTCCAGTCAATGTGATGGATAGGCAGGCTTATTGTGTTTATTCATAGCATATTTGACAATATTTAGCTATTGCATTTCTACCCATATGTAGGCTGCAAGATTATAGTTCCATCACCTAGCTACTAGGTTGAGTGCCTGGTGCGATACTATGAGCTGTGCCTTAATGGTGCCTTATGCGATTAATTGTGTGTGCAACTACTGATCGGTTGTAACTACTGCTTCCATCGACGATGAACTCAATTTGACATACCAGTAACTGGCTGCATGAACATGCTTGTACCTAAAGATTTATCTACAATTCATTCTTGAGGTATACCCATAACTTACTCTGTAGATCCACTGAAAAAATATCCTTAATTACTCTATAGGCATAACCGTCACCTTATATGAAAGTATAACACTATCTCTGGACTTACTCATAGTTTACTCTGAAAGCGTACCTATAACTATGTATGCATAATAACTCATTGACATAGATCTATAGCACACTATATTCATACCCATAACTGATTTGACAAAACATACCTGTAATTCCCAGTATATACATATCCATAACTGATTTGACAAAACATACCTGTATTTTCCAGTATATACATATCCATAACTGATTTTACAAAACATACCTGTAATTCCCAGTATATACATATCCATAACTGATTTGACAAAACATACCTGTAATTCCCAGTATATACATACCCATAACTCTTTTAGTTATGGCATATCCATAACTCACTCCATAAGGTTGTCCATAACCTACAACGATGTGCTCATAAAAAAGTTAGATGCATATCCTTTACAGATATGCAGAACCATTGCAGAACCAACCCCAGCATTTTTCGAGGCAAATTTTTATGTTCAATAGTTTTGCCATTGTTTTCTGAAAGGGAATACTCACAATAAAAGCATATATATATATATATATATATATATATATACTTGCCCTGTAAACATACTCATAGCTTACACTATAGGCATATCTATAACTCACTTTGTATACCCACGCTCATAAACATACCCATAACTCAAAGCATACCCATAAGTCTGTTAAGCATACTCATAACTCTGTTAGTTAGTTAGTTAGTTATTCCTCTTGTGCCAAAGATGGCGCATAGGGCAGAGGTCATAGCTTTCCACGTCTGTCGGTTCTTTGCCACTTGATGTAGGTCTTGAGTGCGACTGAGACCTATGGTTGAGCTCTCCCTTGTGATGGTTCTACGGAGAGTTTCTTTTGGTCTTCCCTGTTTTCTTTTACCCTCTGGTGACCATATGAAGGCTTGGTGGGGAAGTCTCTGTATGTCCATTCTGAGTACGTGACCGGTGTAATTCCAGCGACGCTTTCTAATAAAATCAGACACATATTTTTGTTTTGTTTCCTGTCTTATAGATGTATTGGACCTAAAGTCCAATAACTCTGTAAGCGTACCTATAACTTTATTAAGCATACTCATAACTTTGTAAGCATACCCATAACTTTATTAAGCAAACTCATAACTCTGTAAGCATAAAGCATACCCATAACTTTATTAAGCATACTCATAACTTTGTAAGCATAAAGCATACCCATAACTTTATTAAGCATACTCATAACTTTGTAAGCATAAAGCATACCCATAACTTTATTAAGCATACTCATAACTTTGTAAGCATACCCGTAACTCTGTTAAGCATACCCATAAATCTGTAAGCATAAAGCATACCCATAGTTCTATGCCTACCTATAACTCTGTAAGCATACCCATAACTTCTGTAGGCACACCCATAACTCGCTAAGCATATCTGTAACTTTAGTAAGCATACCCATAATTGTGTAAGCATACACATAACACTGTAAGCATACCCATAACTTCTGAAATCAACCCATGGCTGTGTAAGTATACCCATAAATATAAACATACCCATAAGTATAAGCATACCTATAACTGTAAGCATATCGATAATTCTAAGTATACCCATATCTCTGTAAGCATACTGATAACTGTAAATATATCCTACCCTAGACATATCAATAACTCATTCTATAGCCGTACCCATTGTCAGTCTATTATTACATTGATTCTTGTCAGATTCAAACATTTTTTTGTAGGACCTTGTTGAGACACTTGTCTTAATAGAACCTCATGTCACTGCTCAACTACAAGCTACTCTATGCTGTATGGACACTGCATCACTAACAATGGAATATTGAATATTATAGATACAGACTGTGATAATGTACACCAAAAATGCCAGAGATGTTAGTTGTGTGTGGCCTCTTATTTAATTAAGTGTGGCACCTGACATACCTCATTTTGTAATGCTTTTACTGTTAGTCTGATACCATTATGGTGAAAATTACATTATATACATACCCATCATGTGTTGTGTGTCATCACATTTAGGAATAATATGGCAGCTAATGTGCGGCGTCCGTGGCTAAGGCGTTGCGAGTCCAACTCGTAAGCCAGCATACCGCGATCGAAACCCGCTGCAGGCTGCGTAGATTTTTATCGTGGTATGGGACGTCGCTGGTCGACCCAGCCTAAAATGGGTACCAGGATGGGCTGTCCTGGGAAAGTAAAGACAGCCAGCGTAATGCTGACCACATTACCCACAGAGTGCTGATGGTCTGTAAAAATATAGGACGCTCTGCCCGATGCGCCGAAAGGCGTGAAAAGGGAACTTTACTTTTTTTTTTTATGGCAGCTAATGAGTTTTTAATTTGACCTGACTGATATTCACAATTTTAAACTAAGAAAAAAACAAACAGGATTAGAGGAGATAAACAGCCACCAGTTCTTCTTCTTTTATATTATTATTATTATTTATTATGGTTATTATTATTTATTATTATTGTCCCAAAGGATAAATAGTGAACAAAGACAGTTTTTATGTTTTATAGATATTTACTGTTTGTAATATTCAGGAGATCTCCAAGAAAGAAGCGCCGTGTAGTACAAGATATTCCTGAAAGCACTTCAGAGGATGCAGACAACGCCAGCGAAGTTGGTGCAACACTTTCTGAGGACATTTCTGAATTGTGGCCTTCA